TAAACTATTCCCGAAGTTGCAGGCTCTTGTACCAAACGACATTAAAATACATGCCTCTCATTTCGTTCTTTAATTTTAAATACTTATCATAACATAGTTTAAAAGACTTGCTTACCCTTTTTACACCTCTAACTAAATATTTGTTTCAAGGAAGTACTCGGCTTCTCTTACTGTTTAATAAGTTAAAAGTAAAAAAAAAATTTTTATGTTATAGAGGGGTAAAGGAGCAGGCGTGTCACCTGATGGTGGGTGACTACCGCCACCCACGAACACCTGCAACTCAAGAGTCAGAAGTATGTTGCCGCCCTTTGAGTCCCTCCCTCCAGCACCAGGCGAAGGAGGATTAGAAAGGGAAGGAGGGGGAGGAGGAGGAACTTTACTCACTCTGTGAAAAGTAAAGAAAAAACTGCTTAAGACCGATTTTCTGTGTGACCACTCCGGGTGAGCCGCCCCTTTTGTGCCTCTCCAACGGCAAGTATAGAGAACATTCCTGTAATATTTTTTTATATACAAAGTAGTTTTCTTAATTCTTGTGTCTTAACTTTTCGGTGCACATATTCGCCTTTATTACGTTTTTATTGGGTGAGTTTATGGGCTAGATTAAACCAAGGATATCTGTAGATGTGTGGAACACAGTGCCCGTCGACGACTGTCATCTTCGTACTTACGTCGACCCTCGTCGTCTAATCTTGCCAACACACCTTCTAAATGGACAGTAAGTCCAGATTTTTATTGCAGTTTCTTATGTCTCGTAACATCCGTAGTTTGTGGGTATGTGAGGATATTGAGAGAAAAAAGTGGCTTCTATTTACATTATTTTAAAATATGAAGAATAAGAGAAAAAATGACTTCAAAATATTTTTGGAGAAACTGGTTATCTGTCCCTCTAACACAAAGGTAGGACCAGCCGAGAAGGTCTCGTCGGGTGGGCCTCGACCCACTTGCACCGGTTGAAGTTCGGAGGTTTTCGGGCTGATTAGCATATTTATATACTTCCCTAGTGTGATACAGGATTAGCATTAGATGGCACTGAGTATGAGTGACATATATTCACAACTATATGGGATTTGTGATAAAATAACAAAACCATGCATTTTAGCTACGAATAATAATTTCTCTAGAAGCGTAACAAAGCCTAAAAAAATGGTTCCACGAAATATAAGCCGCGGCGAGCGGGGCGTAAAATATGCACCAGCCCGGCACACCAGTACGCCGTGACACTCGTGTTGTGCGGTTGTATCACGGGAAGCAAATAAAATCCAGCTCGAAAAAATGGTAACCGCAGTTTGATTGAAAAGAAACGAATCTGATTGGATGTCTAACAAATGTGGTAGAATATACAGCATAAACTTTCTGAGTGAGGACATATACATGCTAAGTAATAGAAGGCGTAAACGATAAAAAAAAACTGTGTTGCCTATTTGCACTGCGAGTTTTATATTTCGATTTTACGATTTTTAGCCCCCTAGTACCAAATGCACCATTGACCTGTACCTTCGTGCAGAGGAGACAAATTAGTTTCGTTTGCATCATTAATATTAATATAACAACTTCACCATACTTTACTCGTTTATTCCCTCCAGTCTTACCAGTAGTTCGATTATCAAACTGTTTGGAAGTTTCTTTTCCAAATAGCCTAGTGTCACCCAACGTAGAGATTGAATCGGTTATTGATATTACTAGCACTAACATGTTGTTTAATACCTGCATGCGATCGGTAAACATAAATAAAGATCAAGACGACTATTGTAAAAAAATAGGTGCAAGCCATTTTTGAGCTTATACACTTGTTCAGTATTTAATTTACTTTGTTTATAATCGTGATTAGCGTCATTTATAGACCTCTAAAACACGTTTAAGGAAAATGCTATTAAGTAGCCACCATAAAAATAGGCGCAAAGTAATTCCGACCCGATCTTCATTTGTTTTTACTGATCTTCACACAAAAAGTACAGCTAATCTATACTAATATTATAAAGCTGAAGAGTTTGTTTGTTTGTTTGTTTGTTTGTTTGTTTGAACGCGCTAATCTCAGGAACTACTGGTCCGATTTGAAAAATTCTTTCAGTGTTAGATAGCCCATTTATCGAGGAAGGCTATAGGCTATATATCATCACGCTAAGACCAATAGGAGCGGAGCACCAATGAAGAATGTTTCAAAAACGGAGAAAATTTATTACTATTGAGAGACGCAGACGAAGTTGCGCGGGTCAGCTAGTTGTTTATATTTTTATTAGGTTTAGTATACCTTACGTCAACAACTTTGATGCATATACAGTACTCAGGATATATTACCAAAAATTATGTTTTAAGCAGAATATGCATTTAAATTTTAATAATAGTGATGTACATTCGACAAACACTGGAAATAATAAAAAAAAGGTTATAACGTATCGTCGACTACAGAAGGTTCCTGACTAACAAAACCTTATATGCTATACTCACAAAATTTATTTGTTTTTCTTGTATGACTTAAATAAGTCTACTTATTTAAGTCATTTAATTCAATAAAATATAAACACAAACAAGCTTATTTATTTTAGCATTATGTTGCATAATACCATCCACGCATCTGTTACAACCTGCCCTCATGGGCGGTCGTGAACTTGATGCAACCAATCGCGTGTAAGTTTTGCCTATAAGCGAGTGTTAGTGTTTCGTTGTTCTTGCTGTTAGTTTATCGAACCGAAATCAAAACGACAATTATAAGAGGGTAACAGCTATTCTAGAGAAATTATTATTCGTAGCATTTTTATTTGACGTCTTGATTCTAAAGCTTACGACCACTTATTATTATTATTATTTTTTTAACTTTATGCAAATTCTCTTTTAGTCAACAGTCAGTTGAAGTGATGTAGAAGTGATAAATAGTAGGTGCAACGATATATTCGACATGAATTATAATACGAATAATAATCCTATCATTCAAAACAGACTTGGATAGGTACGTAACTTACACATAGCTTCGTTAGTACACATTTTACATAAACAGATAAATACACATACATACATGCTTAAAACTTTCATAAATACATATTACTATGCAAAAAAATATCTGGTAACAGATTTAGTATTAGTTCTAATGAGGGCTCCATTAATCTAATTTTACACTAATTCGACCGATCCCGGTTGTACTAACGATATTATACAAAATCAAATCATAAAGAACAGGTAGAGATAGCCATGATGATAAATTTATTCGGTTCACACATTGATGCAATGAATGCCTCCGTATGATAGATTTTTTACAAAATACAGCTCTGCCATACACACTAAGACTTACGCCACTTCTTCCTTTACGTGGTTAATGGTCGGCAGATAAAAATAACTGATGTGGTTCTTCATATTTTCGTTCTTCGATTAGCTTGTGTCGTATTCTAAGGAAATACTAATGAAAGGTAATAATAAAGGACATGCATGACATATGACACTTTTTCAGTTCTCTAAGATCCCACTTTTGACATCGGAGGATGGTTAAGTCACATATTGTGATCGTGAAGGACAGGAAATATCATAACACACAGCAACGTTGTTATTCTTTAACGCTATTTTACAGCAACAATATCACAATTTTTAAATTGTGATAACTGGGGAAAACCCAGTACTAATATCTTAAAATTTCGTGTTACTCATATGATACAGTATCACCGGAAAGATTAATAATGATATAGTCTTGTGATATATGTAGGTACACAGATATAATTAATTAAGATTCTGGTTATCATTGATATTGACATTAGTCAATTTCAATGATAACCAGAATCTTAATTAAGATAAACCACTTAAATTATTAAGTTATATCGTAACATCTTTTACTATTTTAATTATTTGTATATCAGTTTTTATTTGTTATTGTATAATTGAGATAATCAGATTGTATTTATTCTACATTTATTGATAATAATCTGTTAACTAGTTATATAATCTCTTAATAGTGTAGTTTCTCTCACTATCGGCATACAACAATGTATCGATAGTAATATGTAAAATATGTTAAAAATAAAAGGTTTACAATAAGGTTATAAATGTTTTACTTTATTTTTACCTACGTCGCGCTAATAGAACAATCAACATCCATACTTTTAGTTATGAATAGGATAGTTAGTTTGTTCGTTTGTTTGCTACGCTTTCAAGTCTAAACCACTTAAATGATTTTAACAATTCTTACGCCAATGGAAAGGTACATTTAAGCGGGCGGAGCCGCGAGTAAAAACTAGAGTAATATAAATTGCGGGTCAGTTTCCGCCTATTGCAAATATTTATATGAATGTTCTCTATTTAATTAAAAAAAAACTATTTCAAAGAAATGTATTTGTTGGTGTTCTGAAACACATTGCAAAAAAGATGTTTGTTTTGATTTGTGTTCCAATCAAACTAATATTGTCAGTCAAATTACATGATTTGCATTCGATAATCGCGTTAGGAATGCACTCACGCGCATTATCGACGCGATAAGAGCCTGATCGATTAAAATTCTTACACAATGTAAGTAACAGTATAGTTGATATGTCGGAAATAAAAAGATATATATGTGATGTTTTTATTGCCCCTGCTTATAGTATCTGTAACTTTATAATGTATCAAATTATTACATGCCGATCTTGGAACTTTTGTAAAAGTGTATAATAAGAATATACAGTAGTACACACTTATTGGTATTATCTTCAATTGGTTTTACATCAATATAGGTATTGTTTTTCGAACAACCGGTTACAACTTTAACAAAGAACGCCATGCAGCGTATTATTCGCGAACAAACTCAAAGAACTATATTTCAAAAAATTGGAAATAAGACAGTAAAAATTTCCGTATTGTATTTTTATTAATTATACAGTTTAGTAAAGACAGATAAATATTGCAGTCTCTATAGTCCTATGTTGTTGTTGCTATTTGATAACGTTTGCCTGTGATAATGATGATTAAATTATTGAAAGGTATAAAATGGAAACAAAATCAGTGACACAGCAGTGTTCGATATTCTCTCTATCCCTATCTACATCATGATGGGTCTGGGAATTATGCTCGCGACATTCCTGGTTGCTTCAGTTACCCTGGCGACTGACCTTCCAGATCCATCTAGATTAGCCCTTGAGCTCAATGAAGACGAGTTTGAAGATTATTTGGACGCCTGGCTGAAACAGCAAGAACCAAGATGGGCTAATGTATCAATCGGTAATGCTGCACCTCGCAATGGTAAATATATTGCATTACTATTCTCTGCAATGAATTTCAAATAATTTTAATACTTCAATGTCTTATAGACCATTTTAAAAAATACGGCCATATTATGACTATGATTGTATCCTGTCTTTTTTGGTTGTTACTCTTCCGTCGAGCGTAAAACGTAATAAAAAGTTGTACAAATTGACTACATTATCGATAGTCTACTATTTTAAAATAATTTACTACAGTTTTTTTATATACGATGATGATACATCCTATCCAGAGAAGGTGCCAAAATTGCAATAACTACAAATTTAAAGCTCTTTTGACGGGATAATTAAAGAACAGCAGGTGAAATTAGTTAATATTATGTAGATATTGATAAAATAAATACTATATACGCTAGATGAAATAATTATATATCAAGACTTACTCGTATCGGTGTTCATAAATTCATTAAAGCGCCATATAACTAACAAAAGAGCTTTAAACTGGTAACTATATTTTGTTATGAGTGTATGTATATTTATGAAAACACCACAAGCGTTTAAATTAATTATATTATACAGCTAACAACATATCTAATTCAATATTTTACGTCCAGGCTGTACATTTCGAATTAACGGTGACTTTGGCCAGCCGCAACCGGTATACATCCGTAAGGGGACTTTCCTCCAACCTAACGGCAATTCTGGTCAGGTCCACCTCAATAAGGATGAGCAAGTTACAATTGCTTGTACTGGCCCAAGACGTAGAATTAGCCAGCACACTGTTATTGATGACGTCGCAGTTGGAGTAAGTATACTAAACAAAACAAGTTACGGTATCTCAGTGATCACCATTAAAATCTAAGATAGGTTAAATGGTGACGACACGGTAGTTCATCGTCAACATCATCTGGGCAGGTTCCTTCTACGGTCCACGATTTTACGGCTAATTTTTTTAAGTTTTAGAAATTCTTGTTTTATTGTTTATTTGTAATTTATTTTTAAAATGCTTTATTTGAAAATTCAATTGAAATCAAGCCAATATAGAGTGTTCTGCGTAAATACAACAGCGAATAAACCTCGTGACGGCTCTTAGTTTGGGTAGCCTCGCTAGGGACCTCAGTTTCTCGGTGGTTCCCTTGTTTGAGTATCCCGGGGTATACTTATCTAACTTATTGTTGTCTCTGCTAGGTCTTAGAAGACAAAACAAAATTGATTTGCCTAAATACTAATTTTATTTGAAGAAAGAGATTAACTTGTTCAAGTTTTCGAATGAATATATTCAGATCTATGTATGTATGTTTTGAAAATATTGTTCTTATTATTTAGAGAGCAACGTGTGTAAACAATAATTTGGTATCCGGCCGTGGCTGGTTAAACGGTAACATATCGTTCAACGAATTGATTTGCTCAGCTAACGCGATTCACGAGGCTGAACCCACCAATCACAGATGTTATGGGAATAACCTGGTAATACGGTATGTTTCTTTTTTGCATTGCTTTAATTAATTATTGGTTTAGTGGCGTAGTTCATGATAGCATTGTTTAATGTTTAAGGATTGGCTTCATCGTGAACAATGTTTTCCAACATCTGTATTTTTCATGCTTCAATCAACAGCGCATGGAAGTTTTATACGTATCCTACGATCAGACCCCTGAAAATACTATTCATCAAAGCGGTGTCAGCAGACCCAGTTTTGCGGGTTAATATAAATATTTTCTTCCTTTTTTTTCATTAACCAAACATTGATAATATTTGAAAAACATTTACTTAAACTTTACAGCTGCTTCCTTCTTTCCCGGTGTTAATGTTAACACCCTGTATACCCAAGTTCGACAAAGGCAGACTATTGCTGAGTTTGTTGGTCAAGCCCTAGCCGACAAGTACGTCACTAGTCGCCAGTTCCTGGCTCGAGGTCACCTTGCTGCTAAAACAGACTTTGTTTTCGCTACCGGTCAACGTGCATCTTTCTACTTCATCAATGCTGCTCCTCAATGGCAACCTTTCAATGCTGGTAACTGGAACTCATTGGAACAAGTAAGTTCCATCATCAATCATCATCATCAAGAAACCATTAGATATTAGGTTTTGGCCTACTATACCAGGCGGGCCAGGCGGGTTAGTATAAGGTTTGTTTCAAATTTTCCTTCTGTTTGCAGTGCTGTTGTCCTGCATAGTTTGCTCTTTTAGTAGACTTACGACACCCACAGGATAAATATGGGTGGTAACACTCCGTATTCTTACCACACCACACGGATAAGTAAGTAAAAGTAAGTAAACACTTACGGAAAAGAAATACACAATCTAAGCTTTAATTATATTTTTTTGTGTACTTAAAGTTTTTGAATTGTTCTTTACTTACATATGGTCCTGTTGTTTTAGAATCTCCGTGCCCGTATCGGAGCTGCTGGCTATAGAACTAAAGTATACACTGGAACATTCGGTGTTACTCAACTGCGTGATCAGAACAATCGCCTTGTTAGCATCTTTCTTGATCGTCCTCACAACCGGATTCCGGTGCCCCTATACTATTATAAGGTATACAAAAAAATATTATTACAGATAGACATAACTGCAATTTTTTTTTTTTAATGTTTTAAAAATGTATTTATAAATAGTCTATAATCATTACTAATTCTATTTCGACTTCCTTTTTAAAATATTTATTAGTAAAGGCCGATCCTTTCATTTAATATGAAAAACTCATAAATTGACTTATATTTATACTTTTGAGATCATCTGCCCTAAATCATTTTACCCTTTTTTACGTGTGGAAACCCTCTCGGGCCGTTACTCCACCGGGGTATATTGGAATTGGAGCGACTAAAATCACACGGTGGGCCACTCTATCCGGACTCCTCCTAGCGGTCGGTGTAATCCTATCCCGACCTCTGGTTATCACCAACACAACAACAGTGTTAGACTATTTTTAGAAGAATACGAAATTGATAAAAGCTTATAGAACTTGAAAAATGTACTACTCTGTCAAGAAAGTACCGGGAAAAGATACACAAAATGTTTGTTGTTCATCCAAATTTATTTTATCACCTTCAAAGTATGCTCCTTCAGAAACGATACACTTACGCCAACGAATAATCCAATCATCAAAACATTTTTTAAACGCTTTTTCCGGAATTGAGTTCAGTTCTCGCCGCGAATTCTTTATGTCTTCTACCGATTGGAAACGGGTGCCACGAAGTGGTAATTTGAGTTTAGGAAAAGGAAAGAATTCGGCTGGAGCCATATCTGGTGGATATGGTGGTTGCTCGATGGTATTTGTTGAGTGTTTGGTCAAAAAATTACTCCAAAGCTTGTTGACTAGTTTGCATGTCAAACTCGTAAACCCACGTGTCGTCACCAGTAACAATACGTTTCATGAATGTTGGGTCGAAATTGACTCATTCTAGCATGTCCTCATCGACTCGTAAAATACAGAAAATCACATCTCGGCCGCTATTGAACGCTTTGTACCACTCATAAGCACGAGATTTTGATAAAGTCGATTCACCGTAACCGGCTTCTGTAACATTTTCAGTGACTCCGAACACGAAATTCCATTGGCGATGCAAAATTTAAGACAAACTCTTTGTTGGATGTTTTTGTTCATTATGAAATTTACAATACACACTAGATTTGGGGCTCAATTCTGCTATTTTATGTTCACGCCAAGCCACTGTCGTACCACTGATACGCTATTGAGATGCCATCGAGTGGCCATTGGCATCATTTCCTTATAATTTGAATATATTATAAATATTATATCTTATAATATATCTTATAAATAATATATCTTATAATTTGAAGATATATTATAAATAATATATCTTCAAATTATAAGGAAATGATGCCAATGGCCACTCGATGTCAGTGGTATGACAGTGGCTTGGCGTGAACATAAAATAGCAGAATTGAGGCCATGATATAACTAAAAACAGCACTTTAGTTAATATAAATAACAGATGCGCTAAAATGGAAAACAGTTGGGCGAATCTAACAACAACAAAAAAAAATGAATTTGGAACCATAAACAAATCATCCATTGCCGATACTTTTTATTTTGACTGAATGTTGATATATGGCTTCTATTTTTAAGGTGGTGTATGATGCATCTCGTCTTCAAGGAACAGCTTTCGTAAGCATTAACAATCCCTACTACACAACTGATGAAGTTCGTAACCTCACATTCTGTACGGACCATTGCCGAAATAACAACGCCTTCAGCTGGCTCCGCTGGCAGCCTGACCGTATTGATATCGGATACAGCTTCTGCTGCACGATCGAAGATTTCAGGAGGACTGTCCCTCATCTACCCTACATGAAAACTACTGGTCTCCTAACATAAGCACCTCGTATTTTTTATGCAACATGATGTCAAAAAATGATCCTTCAACATTTTGGACTTGCTTAAACATGGTAATGTAAGAAACAAGTGGAAGCAGTAAGCGTAGTAACATGTTGAAATAATAAATGTCGAATTTTTTGCTTTAAACTTCTACAGATATTACAAATATTATCATAATAATTAAGTATGTACATTTTCTTCGCACCACGCGACTAGTGTGTTAAGGTTTTTTGTAGCATGGAAATTCAATTCAAGATAATATTTTATTCTAGATCTTCAGTATTTATAGCAGGAAAATATCGCCATATCATTAATAGAACCAAAAGCGAAGCCTGAGGCAAAACAGTGAGGCTTGGATTACAAAGGAATTGTAACCGCTTAATCCAACCTAGCAGACTCTGCTAGGTCAGATTTGATCAAGATAAGATTTCGTTGTAAAATGTACCTATAACATCATACAGCAGCAGTCTATCTATTTTTTTTTAAATTTATATTTAGGTATTTTTTTTGTTTTAGTGTTTTTATTCTGTAGTTCGTTGGGCATTTTCGAATGTAATTACAAACAAAATAATGTATTTTATGGTTTAACAAAAAACTCATTTTTTGATATGGGAAAAAACCGTTGAACTCGCGACCCTGTCACCGTTACCGACCCCTCTGTATATAAGTATTTAAGTTTTCACTTCTGTCGGCATTCCCGGAGTGCCATTGTTTTATTTTTATTTTTTACAATATATTTTTATATAATATATCTCACATTTCTAGGCAGAGCCTGTACTATGGTAACCAGACTGCTGATAAACAAACTTATATTTTTTTTTAAATACATATAAATTATAGATAAATTACACCCAGGCACCGAACAAATGACCGTGCTCATCACACAATATTTGTCCTGGGTGGGAATCGAATCCACGACCTCCGCCTTAGCAGTCAGGGTCACAAACCACTAGATCAACATGACAAATCTTTTGTTGAGAAAGGACTACGGAGTTATATCATATTGATACGAGCGGGGTATATAATAAATAAAAGTTGTCGGTTAATTACTTTTGTTCTACGGTATTAACAAACACTCAGTATAACAAACAAGAAATCAGTATTTAACTCGTTAGTAAAGTAGAAATTCGCTTCGATGTTAATTAGCTCACAGGCACAGCAGTATCGTGGAGAGTGAATTCACTTTCAAATTTTATTATTATGCGATTTATAGCGCGCACAGAAGGAGCACTATGACTACCGTTTTTTGCGCGAAGCGCTCTTACTGTAGCGGTAGGAGAACGCGAATTTGCGTAATAATTTTGGTCAATTTCCAAGCGCTGGTTTAAAGTCAAACGAGACATGATAAAATGGCAAACCTTACTTAACACAAATGTCAAGAGACGTCAAAGATCCATCCTCAAACATGGCCGCTATGAGCTGTCAAAACCAGGTCATCCCTATTGGTGAACCCAGTACTTGCAGCGCCATCTAGCGCTGTAAGTATCAAAATTATTAATCGCAATCTCAATAGTTGTACTTTACGTGATACTAGATGGTGCTGTCCACCACATTCCATACAATTCTGGAACAATCGAACCATTTAATTCTATGGCGCAACATTGCCCCCTCCTAAGACATGCTCGTTCCGAACATTATCGGTCCCATGAGAATAATATCGCGCCAATCGATCATGTAGGACTTCGAAGAAAGTTCGCTAGTGTGGCTAGCGAATTTTCTTCGAAGCACTTATTGTTCACCTTTTGGTCATAACGGGTTTTCATCTTCTCAGACATTTGTTGGCCTGATTGTCTGGCATGCTCATAGATCTCATTCATCTTGTTGCGTACGTCATTTGCGTACTCCGTTGTACTGCGCGGGGTGTCAGGTGGTATTCCAGTGATCAAGTCTGGCAACCGTAGTTCTCTTTCGAAGTTTGAGAAAGCTGGTGTTATTGAAATACTTTCGTGGACTGCTCTCTCTTGCCACAGCTTTTACCAGATACCTCTGCAGTGTTTGGTTAAATCGTTTCACCATTCCGTCCGATTGTGGGTGGTAAGAGATAGTTGTGGTTTTATGAGCACCCATCACTCAACACATCTTTTGAAATATTTGAGGCAACTAAAGGCACTCCAAAACGACAGAAGACTTTGTGAACTAATTTATCTGCAACTGTTGAAACCTCTTGGTTGGGAATGGCGAAGACTTCGCCACTTGGCGGCCACTGCAGGGATGGCGTAGTGGTTTAAGCGGTCGTCACGCCGTTTGCTACTTCTCTGAGTGGTGTGGGTTCGATCCCCACATAGGACACCACTTTGTGTGATCCACAAACTCTAACTCAAACGCAAACTTTCTTTATTTCATAAAATTTCCAAAATTGTTTGAAATCGTCTTCCATGTAGACTCTAAAGTCATAGATCAACACACACAAAAGCAACAATCTCTGTTTTGTCAAATAGTAACCAAATAAATTTAACAAAAATCAAACCCATACAAAATCTATGATATGCCTGTGCCGATCTACAACCGCCCGTTTTCAAGGGGTTGAGCCTTATGAGAAGAAAGGGCAAACAAAGTCATGGCCACTCTTTTGCAATTCACAAGTAGATACAATGGCACTATTAAATATATCACAACATTGTTTTGATGTGTGCTAGTATGTCCGTTATTAAGGACTAAAAGGTGAAAAGACAATGAAGAGAAAACAAGATTAAGAAGAAAAAACGAATACAAGAGAAAATGAAGTGAAACATAAAAAATAGAAAAAATAATAATAATAAAAACATACTAGCCACACCACATTTTTACTTAAGAAAGAAATAGCCTGCGCTAATTAATCCCAAGCATTCTTGTTCTCCATGTAATCCACAATCGAGTAGTAGGCCCTCTGGCACAAGCCACGTTTTATTGCGGATTTAAATTTGTTAATACTCAACTCCTGAATATTATTTGGGATTTTATTATAAAATCGGACACATTGACCTCGAAAAGACTTGTTTATCTTTTGGAGCCTAGAGGCGGGTACTACAAGTTTATTTTTATTTCTGGTATTTATGGCATGTACATCACTTTTTTTCAAAAAGCTATCTTTATTTTTGTGAACATATATTACATTTTCATAAATATATTGACTTGCCACTGTCATTATATTTATTTCTTTAAATTTCTGCCTCAATGAACAACGATTGCCTAAATTATAAAGTGCTCGAATAGCTCTCTTTTGCAGCACAAAAATAGTTTGAATGTTGGCAGCATTCCCAAACAGCAGAATACCGTACGACATTATGCTATGAAAGTAACTGAAGTAAAGAAGTCGTGCTGTATCAACATCAGTCAACTCTCGGATTTTCCTTACTGCGTATGCTGCTGAGCTGAGTCTACTCGACAATTTATCAATATGTGGGCCCCACTGTAGCTTAGCATCTAATGTTATACCTAAAAATGTCGTAGTGTCCACAAGGTCCAGCCCGACATCCTTAATTATCACAGTAGTTTTCACTGGCTTGACATTTGGCATAGTGAAACGTATACACTTAGTTTTTTGTTCATTTAATAGTAAATTGTTGACGTCAAACCAATGAACCACTTTCGAAATGGCGCTGTTTACAAATTTGAAATCAGAAAGTGTCCGTTTTAGTCTAAATAATAGCGATGTATCATCTGCAAACAACACAATCTCGAGATTGTCCTTGACAAAGTGAGGTAAGTAGTTAATATATACTAAAAACGAAAAAGGGCCGAGAATAGAACCCTGCGGAACGCCCATTTCTATCACAGAGCCTGGAGACCGCTCACCATTAATATCAACTTTTTGAATCCTATTACATAGATATGAGGCAAGTAGTTCCAGGGCTTTACTTTTGATACCATAGTGCTGTAATTTCCTGATCAGCGTTTCATGAACAACACAATCAAAAGCCTTAGATAAATCGCAAAAGATACCTAGAGAATCGTGGGCATCCTCCCAGGCATCAAATATATGTTTTACTAGCTCAACACTAGCATCAGTTGTGGAGCGACCCCTTGTAAAACCAAATTGTCTATTGTGCAATAAATTATTATTATTAAAAAAACTTTGCAATTGATCATACATATTTTTTTCAAAAATTTTACTAAATACTGGTAGTACTGAGATAGGTCTAAAGTTAGTTGGGTCAGATGTACTACCAGATTTGAATAAGGGAATAATTTTACTAGACTTCATAAGATCAGGAAATACACCACTATCAACACATTGATTAAATGTAAATGACAATTGATTAGCCACAAGAGATATAATTGTCTTAGTAATTAAAACAGAATTTCCCCATAGGTCGGTTGTTTTTTTAACATTAATAGTGTTAAAGGCCTTAATAATTTCAAAGGGGAACACATATTGGAACTTAAATTCACTATCAATTCTTCTAACATTCTCTTTTAAAATTGATTCTGCAAGGTATGGTGAGGAGTTCAAAGATTTAGTAGTTGATACAGGAATGCTAGTAAAAAAAATCTCAAATGCAGCAGCAACCTCAGCATTTGATGTGAGAAATTTATTGTTTATGTTTAAATTAAATTCATTATCACGGTATTGATCTTTGCCAGTTTCACTATTAATAATTTTCCAAGTGGTTTTAATCTTATCATTACTACTTTTAATCTTTGAACTAATAAAACACACAAATTGTTGTTCTGAGTCTGGATGTTCTTTGTGTCCGTTTCATAAATGTTTGTGAAGTCCCCCGATACACAGGATGTAGTCCTAATACGGGATTTTTTTTTGTCTTTTTTTGACAAAAAAAAATGACTCGGAGGAGTAATCCATTACACCCAAGAAGTACTTGTTTCACTTTGAGGAAACGGTCCGCTACATCTATTGCAATGCTTTTCCAGGGTGCACCAACATTGTATAATTTCAATGCACCCCTGCTACGTGTATGCTTCGGTCCCTTCACGGCCGCACAACTAGTACACTTGCGACACCAGTCTTTAACATCATCACGACAAATAATCCAGTAGAATCTCTCCCTCATTTGTAACAA